GTAAGACACTCCAAAAGCTTCTGAAGTGTAGGCTATAATGTTTGTCTAAAGAAACAAGTCAGAATATCTGAAGACAAAAGTTCTACTTAAGTCCAGATGCTGAAGACTCGTGCTTCTAAAGACAATGTGTTCTAAAGAAACCAGTTAGAAGATCTGAAGACAGAAGTTCTACTGAAGTCTAGATGCTAAAGACTCGTGTTTTGGAAGACAATGTGTTCTAAAGAAACCAGTCAGAAGATCTGAAGGCAGAAGCTTCTATTGAAGTCCATATGTTTAAGACTTGAAGTTCTGAAGACCCAAGGTTCTAAAGACAAAGTGCTGAAGACTATGAAGACATAAGTTCTAAAGACTCTGAAGACTTGAAGTTCTGAATACCCAAGGTTCTTGAAAATGTTCTAAAAGACCAAGTGCTAAAGACTCTTAAGACAGAAGTTCTAAAGACTCTGAAGACTTGAAGTTATAAATACGGGAGGTTTTAGAAAAGGTTCTCAAGACCAAGTACTGAAGTTTTAAAGACAAGGTTCTAAGTGAACAAGTTCTAACGACTGAAGACTTAATTATCTGGAGATTCAAATGTCACGATTCTACTCATGCTTCAATCATATACCATCAGAAGCCTCTGAAGTTCAGAAGAGAAATGTTACCTTTAGCAATGACAAGTACAGAGTACGAAAAAGCCTTATCCCATAACCTCTCCACTAGCTTGAATTGTGGAAAAGAAAAAGACGTGGCAATACTTTTTTCATCATTATGTAACGACTATTTTTCAATAGCCAATGACTCTATTTTGCTTGGATATATAAGAAAAGGATCATATGCTTAACATGTTGTTGGTGTTCAAATGTTTAAATGGAAATTGTCATTGTGGGAACACAACAAAAAATTATCATAATGAAGGTGATCACGGAAGCTCCAATTACAAATCCACAACATTAATGTTGTGTTTTAAAGTGATCATTGAATCAAATAGAACAAGGGTTATCATCCAGAATGTTCTAAGATGAATCAATATGAAGAAGTTCTTCTCTTTACTACATCAAGATCAACAAAGCTTTCAGAAGCTTATGAAGAAGAAAACTTCAGCAATTCAAGTGCTTTTGGACTGTTGTCCATGAAAAAGCTACTTGAAGAAAAGAAGACCACACATTTGAAATAAAATAGAATGTAATATTATTAGTGTGTATTAGGATCTTCTTATGTTCTTAATTGAGTTTGCACTTGCTTGTGTAGAAGCATTCTCTTGTAAACAAACCTTGTAAAAACAAACAGTTGTGTGTTCCTTCTAAAGGACCAATTAGGTCAAAAGCTATATAAGGTTTTGTGTTTCTTCTAAAGGACCAGTTAGGTCAGAAGCTTTAGAAGGTAACATGTTACTCAAAGAACCGGTTAGGTCAGAAGCTTTGAGAAGACTAAGATGGTAGTTTTAGTGATTGTTAGTTACAATAGTTGTCTGTGCAGATTATAATCAATTTGGTTATAGTGGATTAAGTCCTTGAGTTCAAGGTGAAATCATATTGGTAGGATGTATTGAACTAGCTTGAGGGTTTCTCAAGTGAACCAGGATATATCACATATTCTTTACTCTTGCTTATACTTTACTGTTTATGCTCCCATAACATTTTCAAAATCATCACTTAACGCAACAATGTTAAGAGAAGAAAATTTGCTACGAGTGAAAAACCCAATTAAAACCCCCCATTTCTTGTGTTTTATTCACACCTTCAAGTGTCTAATGGAAAAAATCACCATGTAGCTGATCAATTACAATGGAAGAAAATTGATTCCTTGTTTCCAGATTTTACCTTTGAACCAAGGAACCTTAGGCTTGGACTTGCCACCGACGAAATGAACCCTTTTGGTAATTTGAGTAATAACCATACGCATGGAGTTTATTCTCTTAATTTACAATATATATTCATGGTTGTGCATGAAGCATAAGTATATGTTTCTATCAATGATGATTTTGGGTCTAAAATAACTCGGGAACGACATGGATTTTTATTTAACACCATTGATTGGATATTTAAGACTTTGTGAGAGGAATGTGTTGATGTTGATGATGATTATACAAGTGATAACTTTAAGTTGTGTGACATGTTGTTTTGCATAATCAATGATTGTCCTGCATACGGTAATTTGTCTAGGTACAACGTTAAGGGTCATAAAGTGTGTCTTATATGTGAATTTGATACATGTCACCACTAATTACAAAAAGGAAAAAGAATAGTTTATCTTGGGAATAGAAAATTTCTAAGACCTAATCATCTGTATCGTATATTGCGCAATACTTTTAATGGAAAGAATGATTTGGTATCGCTCCAAAGCCCTTAACCAGGACAGAAGTTTATAGAAGATAACAACACATCAAGATTGTCTTTAGAAAGAAACAAAAAAATAAGTGGAGAAAAATTATTGGAAAAAGAGGTCGGTATTCTTTGATCTTTCATATTGGTCTAGTCTTGATGTAAGACATTATATTAATTTGATGCACATGGAGAAAAATGCATGTAATAGTTTAATTGGAACAATTCTCAACATTAAAGTCAAGACAAAAGATACTAAGAAATTCCATGAATATATGGTTGTGATGGGTATACGACAATAATTAGCCCCAAAAGAAGTAGTAAATAGAACCTATTTGCCCTCTGGCATGTCATACTCTGTCTAAAAAAGAAAGAAAAATTGTGATTGTTTGCAGGGTATCAAAGTTCCCCAATGGTACTCATCAAATATGAAGAAACTTGTATGAGAGAACAGTCACAAATTAATTGGCTTAAAATCTTATGATTGTCATGTCATGATGCAACAACTTTTACCAGTGGCTATCCGTGACATATTACCAAGAAATGTAAGGGTGACTATAACCAGATTGTGCTTATTCATAAATGCTATATGTAGTAAAGTTATAGATATTGGAAATTTAGATGAATTGGAATACGAAGATGCAATTATCTTATGTCAATTAAAGATATATTTCCCTCCATAATTCATTGACATTATCGTTGACTTAGTTGTTCATCTAGTAAGGGAGATTATAATTTATGGTCCAATTAATTTATGGTGGATGTATCTGGTAGAGCGTTACATGAAGATTTTCAAAGGGTACACAAAGAATCATTATCATCCAGAAGCTTCGATTGTAGAAAGCTACATCACAGAAGAAGATATTGAGTTTTGTACAAACTATTTGTCAGATGCGAACTTTATAGGAGTTGCTGAGTCTCATCATGATGGATTTTATGATGGTAGAGGTATTCAAGGTTTAAATGTTAACACACTTAGTCGACAAGTAGTTCTTCAAGCATATTTTTATATATTGAATAACCTTAGTGAAGTTGATCCTTACTTGACCGCTCACAAAAATCTTATGAAGGAAAAATTCCCCCAGATGAATGAAAAATGGTTGTTAACAAAGCATAACAAAACTTTTGTAAATTGGTTTACTGAAAGTATTTATAAAGAGAGTAGTGCGTTGGATAATTGAAAATGGTTGTCACGTATTCCTAAGTTTAATGTAATCACTTGGAGTGCATACAACATTAGTAAATATTCGTTCTACACAAATACTAATGTTGGGAATCGAACCCATGTGCAGTTAACTTTACCGCTCGACGATTTAATATCTAAGATGATAAGGGGTAACTTTTCATGACGACCTTATTTATCTCGCTTCTGTTGCCGAGGTCAAACGCATTTCACGTACGATTTTAGATGTGTTTTTTATAGTAGTGAGCCTCTTATACTCCCATGTCTATTCTTTAGAGTATTGATACACAAACCACTCTTTCTGATTTAATTTTTCGTATCCATTTTCCTAAGAGAGCTTTATTGAAAATATTAAATTTTCTAACTCCCAAACCCTCTTTCATATAAAGTCCTACAAAACTTTTTCCATTAGAAACAATTTGTTCTCCTCTCATTCTCAATCCACCCCACAAGAATTGTTGGAAAATAGATTTGAGCTTAGAGATGGAACATGTCAGAGCCTTGAAGAATGAGAAGAAGTATATCAGAAGTTCATGAAAGACTGATTTTATTATCACCACTCGACCACTAAAAGACAATTTATTATTCCTCCATCTAGCTAGTATTGACCTTACCGCTTCTATCATCGGTTGCCAAGTTTCAAGTCTATTTGGATTAGCTTTGATCGGGAGTCCAAGATGTTTGAATGGAATTGAACTTGTTTTACAATTCTAAATGACATTTCCTTTTTTTAAGCCACCCTTGATGGATGTTTACCCCTACAAGTAAGCTCTTGTTAAATTTCACCATGAGTTGTGACATCATTTCAAATAGTAGTAATTTTTCCTTTATTAACCGGATGTTTGACCACTTTTTCCCCATATTATTAAAGTATCGTCAACATGTTGTAAATGAGTGAATCATTATGTTCTCTTCTCAAATCGGTACCCGCTAAATTTACCGCTATTCATCACTTTTTCATCATGTTAAAGCCTTTAACAACTATGAGAAATAAAAATACTGAGATATGATTTCCTTGTCTTAAACCTCATTCCATACTAAATTCCTTGGTCGGACTACCATTAACAAGCACTCAAATCATAGATGTTTTTAGGCATTTTACTATTCATCTCCTTTATTTCTTATGAAATCCCATCTTTGTCATCACATATTCAAGGAAATTCAACTCCACTAAGTCGTAAACTTTCTCGAAGTGGAATTTAAACAATAATACTTTTTTTTCTTTCTCCTAGCCTCATCCACAATTTAGTTTGCGATTAATATCCCGTCAAGAATCTGCCTATTGGATATGAATGTTGATTGAGACTCTGAGATCGTCGAACCTATCAATTTTTTAATCTATTAGAAAGGAATTTAGATATCACCTTATAGATGCACCCTATTAACGAAATTGGTACGTATTATGAGATTTCCATCTGATTTCTCTTCTTTGAAATCAACACCACAAATGATCTATTAGCACCCTTAACTATCCTTTCGTTTTTGTGGAATCCGACCATTACCCTTAGAAAGTCTTATTTGATTTCCTCCCAAAATTCTTTCACAAATTCAAAGTTTACTACATCTGAACCTGGGCTTTTGTTGCTATCATATTCCCACACTACTATTGCAACTTCTACTTCCGAAAATTCTTGCACCAATTCTACATTATGCTCATCTTCAATTCTTTTAAACTCTATGTTCTTTGGAATTGCCCTTACTCCATGTGCTAAGTATTGGAATCTGAAATGCTTAAGAATATTATCTTTTATTTCATTAGCCTCTATTATCCTTCTACCATTCATGTACAACCTTAGGATTTCATTGTCTTTTCTTCTCTTATTTGCACATCTATGAAAATACTTAGTGTTTGCATCTCCCTCCTTTAACCACCTTGATTGAGCCTTTGGCCATTGGATATTACAATTTAGTCTCGACATTTCATGTGACGTTGATATAATCTCTCTCTTAAATATCAACTCATCCTCTGATAGGATTGAATTTTCTCCTTGTAACTCTAATTTATTTAGCATTTCCTTTGCCTCAAGTATTCTTCCTTCCATATTTTGCGCATGTTTCTTGTGTCATTCTTTGAGAATTTTCTTGATTGTTTTTAACTTTTCTTTTAACACGAAGATTCCCTACCCATCCATCTTTATGTCACACCATCTCTCAATGACAAAATTATGGTAACCTTGCACTTCCTTCCAACAATTTAGCATACAAAAAGGATTCAGACCCCCAATCTTGACTTGATTCGCATAACATGATGGGCCAAGGATCAAATAATTCCTTATATATACACCACTAAGTACATTTCGGCTAGGTTCTAATCCAATTGTTTGAGATAAGGAGTATATCCTATCGACTCATCACTGAGTCCCTTAGGTCTAGACCAAGTGTATCTTCTACCGTGTAATGGAATATATACCAATTTTGTCTCTTATATAAAACCGTTAAACTATTCTATCTCGTCCCTTCTAACAAATTCACTACCCTATTTTCTTTCAGATGGTTCTCTAATTGCGTTTAAATTCCTCATTAGACACTCTTTCTTCCTTCTTTGCTTTTATTCTTGATGATAATTCTGACCAAAGGGCTGCTTTTTTCTTCCATCACATAAAGCATATACAACTCCTAAATTGACTACCTTTCTATCCTCCCCCACTCTCCTTCCAGCCATAAGACGTGTTTCAAATTTTGTTTTCTCTGAATTGAAATAGTGTTGATGTCTCAAATTGCCAATATACCTCATGATCTGCCTTTTGATGGTTTGAATGCAAAATCAAAGTCATTAGACTCCCATATCAAATAACACATGTTCTTATCAGTTTGTTTCAACTTTTTTTCTTAAATATCAAGTTCAGTTTCTTCTTTTAATTTATTTGTGCAACTCTTTTTTCTTTGCCAACTCCCCAAAACTCTTATATCAGATGAATTAACATGCCACCCCCATCACCTATGCTTTAACCATTATATCTTTAAGAGTAATTCCTAAATTTCAAAAAACATGATTTTTACCGGAATTTTGGAGGGGTACCAGAAATTTCAAAAAAATATGGTTTTTTGGAAATGTTCAGAAGAAAAATTCGGAGTTTTCAGAAAAGTACGGATTTTTTGGAAAATCTGTACTGCACTTTTTGTGGGATTTTTTTTTTACACTACCAAAAATTTTGAAATTTCCAATACAGTATCGAAAACGTCCAGATTTTTTTTTAATAAAAAGAAACCGGAGATTTCATAGAAAAATCTAAAATTTCAAAAAACTACCAAAAATTTCGTTAAAAACCGAAAATTTCGACTTTAGACACCCTTTATATTTATTTAGAGACATTTTTAAAATAAATCAAATTAAAATATGACATATTTAATTTTAAGAGTGACATATTAATTTCCCCTTATAACATAACGGATCATCTTCATAAACATGATTTGTGCTTTAACTCCCCTTTCTAAAACACAACCTTATCTTTTTTTTTATTGTTGCTCCCATTCCCCTAATCACTCTAGCATATCAATTCCTAAAACCACTTTAGCACATTATTTCCTAAAACTACTACGCCAAAAAGGGCTTTTAACAACGCACATTAGACAACGCTTTTATACAAAAGCGTTGCTATAAGTGAATTTAAAAAAAATACGGAAACTGTATACAATAATAAATAAAAGCGCTGCTAAAAATATGATCTTAGACAGAGCTTTTAAAAAGCGCTGCCAAAAGTGTTGCTTTAGAAAGCGCTTTATCAAAAGCGCTGGTAAAGGACCACTTTAGACAGCGCTTTTCAAAAGCGCTATCTAAAGTCATATAAAATTTTAAAAAAAATCTCAAAAGTGCTGCTAAAGGACCACATTAGCCAGCACTTTTCAAAAGCGCTGCTAAAGGCCCATATTATCCAGCGCTTCTAAAAAGCGCTGTCTAAAGTCATATTTAAAATTAAAAAAATAGAATACCCTACTGTTTCTATTTTCACAAACTCGTTCCCCCCTCTCAGAGACCTTACGAACGAAAACCCTTTCCCTAACTCGTCATTGTCCAAGCTCCTTACGCCGTCGTCCAAGCTCCATCTGTCGTCCTTCGTCTGACCAGCCCTTTCCCTTTGTCCTCCACTGTCTCTCTCGGTTGTCCTCCACCGCCGACCGGCCCTTTCTCAAGGTAGGTTCTTTCTTGAATCTGAGTTTTACTAAAATCATGATAAACTAAAATGCTTAATGTTGTTATGTGTAAAATCAATTTGGGAAGTGTTTTTATTTGTTAGAGTTCATTAACATGGCTAAGAGCAAGCTAATAGAGAAATTGTTTGTAACATGATTCTTGTTAGCATACGTTTATGAAGTTGATATTGAATTGATTTGTCTGTGTAAAATTTTGATACCCGATACATGTCAGATTCTATTTCTTTTATGGTATATATCATTATTTGACTGGTTTGTGTGGTTCTGGGCAAAGTACTATTGCTGAGAAGCTTTGTTGACATCCATAATTCAAAGGTAGTAACTTATTGCCTCTTCTTCTTTATTTCATATAAATGACTTATAATATAAGCAATTATATGATAAATGCGGAAATAAGTTGTTTAATCATATAGGGTGTTAGTCTCTAAATGATTTCATCTCATTAGACATTCAATCATAGTAAATATCCAAATTTTCATGATTTTAATAGCATAACTACAACATGAGGACTAGTTACTTCACTTCATATATAGTAGAATAATCGATATATATAGGTACTAAATTTCTAGAAATAATCCGTTTAAATCATACAAAATTTCTAAAAGTTTGTATTAATCTTCTTATAGTGTATATACTATTTTCCCTATTTTGTTCATGTGCATTGACACCTAAATTCATTATCCTCCTAAATGGAATGTTTTTGTTTGTTTTTGATGATCCATTTGTATTGGTGTAGTTAGTCGAAGACCATAACCGATTCAAAGAACATCAAAGCTGCATCATCCGCCGTCGACACCAATAACCCCTTTTTTTCTTTGGTAAGTCAAGTTCAAATTCAACATTACTGATTCTTTTATTTATTTACTATCTCCTTCCTATATTATAAAACATTTTATCTGTATCAATTAAAAAACACAATTATTTTTATATAGATATATTTATTTTTAGTCCATATTAATAAATCTAGAAATAAATTTCTATAAGTAATTCGTTTAATTCATACAAAAAGGGAATAATCCGTTTATAGTGTTTTTGTTTACTTTAATTAGTAGAAAAAATGGATAAAAAATGGATGTCTGTCGATCGATTGTCAAAAGAGTACGAGAATAGGGTATTGAAATTCGTTAAGTTTGCTGTTGAACACGCCAAAGACCCCAGTCGAATGAAGTGTCCTTGCTTGGGTTGTTGTTATATGGGTCGGGTTGACGCAGATGGATTGAAATCGCATTTACTAATGCCTGGAATTGATAGAAGTTATACGTGTTGGATATTTCATGGTGAAAAAAGTAACGACAATATTGAACCGGGGGAGAAAATTAGTACGACCTATGCTTCCGACGACAAGGACACAGATACATACGATTTTGATCGAGTCGAAAAGATTGCAGATGCACTTGAAGAAGATCTTCAGGATTGTCCCAACATTTTTGAGAGATTGGTAAGCGATGCAGAGAAACTATTGTATAAAGGTTGCACTAAATTTACAAGACTGTTTGCGGTATTAAAGTTGTATAACTTAAAGGCGGGCAATGGATGGTTAGATAAAAGTTTCAGAGTTATTAGCCCTTATGAGAGATATGCTTCCGGAGGATAATGTTCTTCCTAATCGAACCTATGAGGCCAAAAAAATGTTGTTCTCTATTGGAATGAGCTATGATAAGATACATGCTTGTCCAAACGATTGCGTTTTGTTTCGAAACGAATATTCATCGTTAAATGAGTGCCATAAATGTGGTTTGTCTCGATATAAGAAAAAATTGTCTCTAGCAAAAGTCTTATGGTATTTTCCTATAATTCTGAGATTTAGGCGCATGTTTCATAGTGAAACCGATGCAAGACACCTAACTTGGCATGCAGATGAAAGAATTATTGATGGAAAGTATCGATATCCGGCAGATTCACCATAGTGGTCGAAAATTGATAATGATTATCCTGATTTTGGAGAAGAAGCAAGAAACCTTCGCTTAGATTTATCTACTGATGGAATGAACCCGCATGGTCTTCAAAGTATCTCACATACCACATGGCCTGTAATTCTTATGATTTATAACTTACCTCCATGGCTATGTATGAAGCATAAGTACATGATGTTATCTATGTTAATTTCTGAGTCTAAACAACTAGGGAATGACATAGACGTATACTTGACACCTTTGATCGAAGATTTAAAGATTTTGTGGGAGAACGGGGTGAAGGTTTATGATGGATATAGTAAACAAAGTTTCAATTTGAGGGCTATGTTGTTTGGCACAATTAATGATTTTCCATCATACAGGAATCTATTTGGGTATAGCATTAAACATCAACGTGTGTGTCCTGTTTGTGAAGATGGAACCGATACGACGCATTTGGAACTTTGTCAGAAGAATGTGTTTCTCGATCATCGTAGATTCTTACATTCTAAACATCACTACCGTGCGTGGAGAAAAGCATTCAATGGAGACATCAAACAATGTAAAGCTCCACCTGCATTGTCAGGTGACCAAATTTTTGAAAAGGTGAAAGATGTGTGTACTCAGTTTGGCAAGCCTTTTGCATATACAGTTATCAAAGGTGGGTGAAAGAAGAGGTCGATTTTTTTTTTGAATTGCCATATTGGAAGTCTCTGTATGTGAGACATTTTCTCGATGTTATTCATATTGAAAAAAATGTATTTGAAAGTGTTATTGATACGTTACTCAATATTAAAGGAATGTCTAAGGATGACCTTAAAGCAAGGGAGGACATGTTAAAGATGGGGATACAAACTGAACTAGGACTCATGAAGAAAAGAAGCTGAACATATCTACCATCTGCTGCTTTTACTCTATCTAGAAAGGAGAAAAAATATATTATGGAAGTTTCTAAGTGAAGTTAAAGTTCCATAAGGACAATCTTCAAATATTAGAAG